TTCCTGGTCTTCTCAGGCTTCTCTCAGACCTTACTGAGGGGCCCCTCCACCTCTCCTCCCTCTTCTCTGGTCTGGTTTTCCGGAAAATGGAGAAGTGATGAGAGCTGCCCGCTCTTGCATTATCACTTCCTCTATTTGTCTCCATCTGCTTCTCACTTTCTTTGGCCTCAGTGGAGTTGGGTGGTGTGGTACCAACTGGTCCCTTCACCTCCTCCTCCTTTGATGATGAAGCCTCTGTTTCCAAAATTCCTTGGTCTGGAGGTGCTGCACCTAGGGCAGCTGCAGGTGGATCTTTGGCTGTGGGGGTTTTTCCTCAGTCCCTCCTGTTCTTCTGACCTTCAGCTTCAGCGTCACCATGCCCATCCTGAAGTAGGCCGTTATCGGTCCTTCCTTCTCGAGTTTGATCCTGTGAGTGGATCCACAGCCAAGAAGAGTTGGACTGTAGTCCCGTCCACAATTCTGTTGAGGGCTCCCCAGCTTGTGGCTTTTAGCCCTTTGTTTTGTTTTTCCAGCCACAGCAGGATGTCCTCTGTTTGAGCTGGTCGCAGTTCGGAAAGAAAGCCGTTGCCACCTTGGTCTTCGGTATATCTCCTTAGGGAATGACACGGAGAAAGTCCCCTAAAGTCAACTAGCTCATAGACTAATATTATTCAATCTTCAAAACAAATGTAACCGGGTTTCAGCTTTCCCGGCTAATGTTGACTATTAGTATTTACCAATACTAAAACCTGTGCAGGTATTTTCCGCAAGAATTTTGGACTGCCGCCATTTTGTAACGGATGAATCTTTTGAGACGCAGTTTCCAGCAATGAACTCCACTTGACCAGCCCTTTAAAATTATGTGCATATCAACCTATGCTTACATTAAAGATTATGTACCTACTCCTCATGGGCCGTCCCCTGGTGAAGGTCAAAAAATGGTAATGCTTGGAAAAAGTAGTTTTCATACATATAAGTTGACATGAAAGGTTTGAATTTCCCAACGAATTCAGTTCAAAAGATATTAAGCCGTTTCCAGACTTTTTTGTCACCCTTTATATATTTATAGATTTATATATACGTCCAAGAACGCGATAACTTGAGTAATTTTTGTCCGATTTTGATGAAATTTTGTTTGAAGGTGTAAGGTGGGATAAAGTTTAATGAGATCGCAAACCAGCATGATCGGAACATGGGAACAGGATTTTACGGGGGGTTTTTATGGGGTAAAAATTTGTTTATCAAACTTTCGACCCTAAAAACACAACCTTTCCCAATTTCTCTACTGACCATTTTAAAGAGCTTAAAGAAACTAATATTTTAGTATACCAAAGTGTTTTTGTACGGTTAGTTAAGGAGAAAATTAAAAAAATTGCAAATTTCAAATTCCCATGTTATTCTTATGGAGAATATTGTAAAATGTTGTAGTTAGCTTATTATGGAAATATTTTTATCAAACTTGGCAAATTTATTTATTTTATACTAAACTACTAATATTTTACAAAAAAAACACACTTTTTAGCCTCCCTGTAGCAGAAACCTAGGTACTCGTTAAACCTAATGTTATTCAAATCAGGCAAATGGAAATTCGCTTAGTCCGCAGGTTTGCTGTGGCAGGGGTATTTAGTATATTATTATAGCTTAGTATAAAATAAAATAAAATTGCCAAGTTTGATCAAAGTATATCCATAATCGAGGAAATTACAACAGATATACAATATCCTCCTTGAGAATGACATTGGAATTTTAACTTTACATTTTTCTTAATTTTCTCCGTAGCTAATAACCATACAAAACCATTTTTATATGCTATATATTCGTTTTTAAGCTCTTTCTAGAGAGAAATTGAGAAATGTTGTGTTTTGTATGTTAAAAATTTAAAAAAAAACCCGTTCCCATGGCCCTATCATGCTGGTTCGCGGACTCAATCATGTTTATTCCGCCTCACACCTTTAAGCCATATTTCATCAAAATTGGACAAAAATTATTCAAGTTATCACGTTTAGGGACACCTATATATACATATATAACATTTTGAATGGATGGTGTTTTTGGCCTCTAAGGACATCAAATCCAAAAAGTAAATCGGTCCCCGATCCAGGTCTTACCATGAGGCCTACGGTAATTGCTTATTCCCTATATTCGTGCACATGTTGAAAGACAGCGCCTCGGATGCTAGCAGCCTAGTATAATGCACCACATTTGAACCAATGCCCGACAACCGATTTTGTGCATCCCAGGAGGCAAAAAGTCACCGGACGCTCAAATTTCAGCGTCTCAGCTAGGACGCACAAAATCGAACGTCCGGTCCGGTGGCTTGTTTGGCATCCCTAGTCTAATCGCTCCCATTTGATTTAATGCCCCGCTAGCGTCCCAGATGCTTGCATCCTAGTATAATTGTAGCCTTAGATCTTAAAAAACGTCAGTATGGTAGCTTTTTGATGGTTCGAAACTGGACCCAGCTGTTCCTGATCATTGGGCTTTATATAAATGATGCTGGTTAATGAAAAAGCTGATCTTAGTCAGTAACAAGGTTAAACATATCATCTCACTTCATTCTACACTCATCCTTTACTCATATTTGTTTTAAAATATGCACCTAGGTGGCATCCCCATCTTAATTGGTATAACTACTATAATAATATTTTTATTTCTAGATATGTTTTTTTATTATATTTTTTATGATTTTAAAATTTGTTATGGCTATAGAAATACAGTAATACTTAAAAAGTTTGGTAGAGAGTTACAAAATACCGATAAAATCTGGCAAAATTTTTTTTGTTTACCAACTTTGAATAGTCAATGGTACCAAGCTATTAAAACATCAATAAAAACCACTGTATTACCTTCCCTCTAGCAGCAAATCTTAGGTAGTACTCAACAGAATTTATGTTTAAATGGGTAATACAGTCCATTTTAATCAAACATTGATTAATCAATGAGTATGTATTTGTTTTGATTTGAATGTTATTGTTTTTATAATAATAAAAACAATAACAACCAAATCATATATACTAATTTGACAGTTACAATCAGGTGATCTTTTGTTTGCAATCCGAGTGAAGTCAGAATATGTGGGAATAGCACACCTATGTTTTTTCCTTCCACCATGGAAGCTGCCATGTCCAAAAAGAGAAGGAGAATTTTTTTTTATTTCATACAAAATGTTCAAAGTTCATTGTTGAAGCCAGCTGTCTTCTTTCTTCATCACTTGCACGTATGCACTAATAATCAGGCTTTTGGATAATAATTCAATGTTGGGGTTTTAGAATTAATTCATACTATAATATTAATAATTTTTGATACAAGTGTTATTGAAACTATGGGCTTAATTACAGGTTACAGGTTTTTATTAACAATAATATTTGTTGAATATATACAATATATTTTAAAAAGTGATTATGGTTTCTGAGGGGTGATTAAAGGATAATATAATTTAAATTTACTATACATTTTCTGAAAATTTATTTAAATAAGACTATGGCAAATTTTGGTACAATCAAAGGAGTAATATTATATTTAACTAAAAGAATGAATGTAGTGAATGGGCTATAAATGACATGTAACATCGCAATTTACGTTGATTTTGCAATAATTGTATAAGCATGGTGGCAACCCCGATGAGCATAACAGTAGCTTCCTTAAATAGCATATGCTATCATCTGGCCGCAGGGTTGTTAGTCTTGACCAAGTCATTGACCTGTTATCACAGCCGTTGGTCTGGAAGACAACTCGCGTGCTTGTGTTACCAGTAAACAGTGTTCATTAGGGGATCCAGTGTAGGTAGTAGCACAGACAAGGGAAACAAAGTTTTATTTCCTTAGTCAATGGTAGTAGTGTCTCAGATTTATTATCATGATTAGTATTAATAACTTTATCATTATAATTTCGAGAGTATAGAAAGTTTGCCAAAAAACTTATTATCTGTAAACCAATTGGATGGAAATGTCTAACCATAGAGTCCACTGATCTAGCCTCAAACTGCAAAGGCACGTCTGCCTTGGACAAAAAGATGCCAAGACCAAATTTAAGTGTAAAACCTAAAAAATCAATATTCCAGGGGAAAATTTAAAATATTTGTGAAGTGTGTTTAAAAGTACTTCTAAACCAACCACTGGACGAGGATGTTTGAAAAAAACATACATTAAAGTTTTTTTTTTCAATATTTTGTATAAATCTTTTGTATCTTTTCTACAAACCGGGAAATGTATTAATTCATGAAATATTTACTGTTTCCATGGTTTAATACAAATATTATAGTTTTGTAAAATTAAAAATATCATTTGTTTGCAATAAAAACTTGTTTAACTACAATTTTCCCCTCTTTAACACCATTATCACATTTCATGATGAAAATATTAAGGGTTCAAACTATTAGTTTCAAATCAATTAAAGGATTTGGTATTACCATAAAATTTACATAACAATATGAGAAAATGAATATAAATACGTCTAAATAAATAAATTACGTCTAAAGTTTGAAGAGCTAAATATCAAAAAATCCTTTTTTATTGCCATTTTTATTTGGGGGTCAATAGATATAGTGGACAGTAGGACATTACGCGCGCTTCAGCGTAAAAAAAACAAGTGCACGTGCTTAAGGATTAAGTTTTTGTTTATGGTTATTGGTTTGGAGAAAATTCAAACAAATTGTTAATTTTAAATTCTTATGTTATTCTTATGGAGAGTAAGTAAGTGAACTGTTGTATTTTGCTTGTTTAAATATTTTGATAAAACTTGGCAAATATATTAATTTTATATTACCGGTAAGCTATTAACATTTTACTAAAAAAATACACTTTATTACCTTCTCTGTAGCAGCAAACCTGTGTACCCGTTAAACCTAATTTTATTTAAATGGGGAATACATTTGGTAGGTTTCAGGACTAATTTTAATGAAAATTTAATCAGGCAAATGGAAATTGGCTTAGTCTACAGGCTTGCTGCGGCGGATGATTTTTAAGAATGTTAACTTATATCGTTTGATTTTCTACAGACAACATGACGTATTCTTGTTTCAGGAAAAACTTGATAAACTGTACCAAAATGAGGAATCTGATCTTGAAACATTAAGCGAAGAGTTGGATACTTTCAAAAAAATAATCAACGAGCGTGAAAAAGAACAGGAAGGACTGGAACAAATCCTTATAGATCACAACTTGATCCAACCAGAGGAGTCTCTACTCTCGCTGTATCCTTTATTGTGGCAACTCAATATTTGAAACACTCATGTTCTCATGTTCAGATGGGTGTATGCTAATTATTGTAAGGTATGTATGGTAGACGATGAGATAAAACATGAATGTATTTAAATGTGAATTGTAACTAAATTACTTTTAATATTTATTAATTACTGTATTTTCAAAAAATATATTTAAATTTAATTAAATATAAATTAGTGAAGAAGAAAAACTGTATTCAAAAATGATATTCTAAAATTAAATGGTGTCTTGGTAGGAAATGTACTGTCCAGTGTCCAGGTGTGAAGTAGCATTGTTGGAAAAAAAGCTGAAAACAAAGGGAGAAAATGTGCTAGTGGGGAAAAAAGATATAGATAGAAATGGATGTGGGAGCCAAGTCTACAGTGATTAAACATTCAAAAGTCTATAAAATTAACATTCAAATCATATAGAAATATCGATTAGCCTATAAAGAAAAATCAAGAAATAAGATAAGTATTCAACAAAAATTGGTAGTATCAAATTCAATAAACATTTAAAAATCATCATCAATTTCCAACCACCATAACACCATTGTGAATAGACTAAATTCAAGTGACTGTTTCAAACTAAGAATTTCTAGCCTAAATTTTTTTACTCTCATTATTATTCCATATTATTTAGCCTACCTACATTAAGTTACTATAAATTAAGTTAATAAGCCTATCAGAATTTCATACCCGGCACGAACCAACCCCTAGATTAAGATCATTGCTCTCCAAATTGTTAACTAGCCCATCTATAAAACCTAGACCAAAATCATAACCCATGAGATTGTCGTAATATAAGTTATAGAATCGAAATATATCCTGTTGTAACTTTATTGGAATTTTGATGATATATCTTAAGTAAATTTATATTTATGAAATCCATTAATAAAGAGGAGTAGGCTGCAAAATGGCGTCCCAACGAGTGGGCTATTGAAAATTCTGATCTAGGCCTAACCTCATACTTGGGAATAACGAATAGCGCTATTCGTTAGTTTTTTTGGCTATCTTCTATTTTATTCGTTAGTTTTTAAAAAGAGCTGGAAATAACTTCTACTCAGTTAGTTTAATAGACAACGAATAGATAATATATTCGCTAGTTTTAAATTGTTAGCTTTTCTGGTCAGGCGAAAGTATTTCCAGTACGGGTTATTTATTTTACGTGTTCAGTGAGGGTTGCGTGCGTACGTGAGAGGTCAGCACCCTTGTGTCAAACAACGCGGGGGGTGGGGAAAGAGAAAGTCAAAGTCCAGTCGCTTTGGTATGCAGCGGACCCGGGGGGCGAGCCAATGGCAGCCAATAACAATACCCCAAGCACCGAAGGGTGGGAAGGGGGAATGTTTGTTTGGCGATTGATATGTACTGTAATCTCAAGTGTCAAAATAAATGTCTTCACTTCAGTCGGTGTTCAATATCTGACCGTGACAGGTGTTAATTTTTTGTTAGTTTCTTAGTTGTCTTGTCGTTTAGTCGTTATATATATTTTATTTACTTACTGGAGTGGCCACTGGTACCCTAAGAGGTACTTGGCCTCGCCCACACACTGCCTCCAGATGTCTCTGTCTTTGGTGTCATTTTCACTCCTTCCCAGTCTTCTTACATCTTTTTGTACTTGATCCTTCCATCTAAGTTTGGGACGGCCTCTTGGTCTCCTGCCTTCGGGGTTTCTATCAAGTACATTTCTCGTAGTGGAGTCTTCCTCTCTTCTCGAAATATGACCAAACCATCTCAATCTTCTGCTCTTGACTTCCGCTATGATGTCAGGGTCTTTTTAGCGCTCTCTAATCTCGATGTTGTGTCTCATTCTCCATATTCCATCTTCGAGCGTCGGGCCATATATTTTCCTGAAAACCTTGTTTTCAAATGTTATAATTTTCTTTTCTATTTTTTTGCTCATTGCCCATGTTTCTGAGCCATACAGTAAAACCGGTCTTATTATTGTTTTATATATATATATATTTTATTTTATATATATATATAATTATATATTATATATATTATATATAAATTATATATATTTTAGTGATAGTTAAATATTTTAAAAACATAAGTTATTAAGGTGAACAGTTTTAATTAAGTAGGAGTAGATTAATAATATTTGTTTGCAATGGCGGGCGAGTGTGATATCAAGTGACCAATCTTAAGTGACATATTTCAACAAGTTGAAAAAATGAAAAGGTTGGAAACGCGTTAAAATGTTTATTGGGTTTGTACCCAAAACAAAAATAATTAAAGCATCTGTCACAATTGCTTCGAGGTAAGTGGAGAAAAAGTATGATGGTATCGTTTTTAACTTGAAGTGGATTGCCTATATATATTTTTTAATTAATATAATTTTTATTTTTTAGTACAGTTATAGTGTATTTCTCAATGTGTTTCCCATGCTCTTTTAAACTTTATCTCGCCACAAATAGGTCACTTTTAAATTTAGTAGTAAACTATACTTTTATCACACTGGAAAAACTACTTCATCAGACTTTAAAATATTATCTGATATTTCGTAATCCATTAATTGCTGTCCATTAATTGTTGTACAATAAATTTTAGTGTAAAATTCAGCTAATTGAACATCAACAAACTGTGTTTTTACCTAACCGGGAACTTCAGTTGTAACTCATGTTTGTGTATCGAAAGTAATGTTTATGTCAGGAAAGGTGAGATGATCACTATTTGTTTTTGTCTTTTAAACTATTGAAAACAGAGTGATGACAAGTTTTTGTATCACCTTTGTCGGGGAAATAAATATGTGCACTCGAGTTTGAGCCTAAATATATCTGAGATGAATTATCCGATTTTGTTGAAACAAAAATTAAATATAAGCTGGTTTAAATACATTTTACGTGGTGTCAATTAAAAAAATTTCCGTTTACCAGAAAAACTTATATAGTTGAAAGATCCTAAAATGTACCGGTTTTTAAGAAACTCGGCACTAACACTGAAGTTTAAAATTTATTTGTAAACAAACCACTGAGCCGATCTTTCTGAAATTTTTATGGCTTATTGGTAGGTTCATTGTTAGCATTTCCATGCATTTTAAAAATTGTATTCACCATAGTTTTTATGCTGCTGTTAATTTTTAAAACGTATGCTAACATCGTTAATAAGACAGTGAAAATTTCGTTCAAAATACCATCGTGTTTGCTGTGTCACAAGAAATAACGCCATTATGACAGATTTTATAATGCGAACAAAGGTGGTTTTTAAACAGATTTATATTTGTAGACAAAAATTTCTCTCGTGACTGGTAGCGGGCCGCCTTGTGTTTGTACGATATTTCCCAGCCGGGCGGGAGCGCGTGCGACTCTGCGACGTTGCCGATGTGTACCTGGCCACCACACTGACATTGCTTCAGTATTCACTCACGTCAAACTAATGTGTAAATCATTATTTAGTTATAAATTTACTAACAAAATATTCACTAGTCATGAAACAAATACATTATAATAAGACAACTACAAATATAAATCTGCAAATTAAAAAACACCTTTGTTCACTGCGAACGCCTGTTCAGAGCGGCAAGCCTAGTCATCACTAACAGAGTAATAGACGAGGAAGAATCAGCGACACCAATTTTGAAAAACAACTTCTTTTAAAGTTTAATAGGCATTGTAACCCAACTAGCTCAGGAAAAATCCCAAGTTGTTTGTCTCCTAAATTATCAAAGTATGTCTTGATGCAGTCTTGAAGTTTCATCTTTTGGTCTTCTGTTAGGTTTTCTCCATCTTGCAATCCTCCTGAATGAATTTCGCTGACATATTGAATCTTCTTTGGGAATTCCCAAGTTTTATTCTTAACATCAGGGACAAATTCCATCACCTCCCAAAAGTTCATCCCCAAAATCAAAACCTGATCAAGTGTTGGCACTATTAACACATCAATTTCTTTTGTTCTGTTTTCTAAAGTAATCGGCAATTTAATAACACCTTCTACACAATGTCTTTTGGCATCAGCAGTTTCTACACAGCCATTATAATCATTAATAAGGTTAGGAAATTTCTTAACAATCCATAAACCCTTCCTTCCTAGCACTGAATGGGATGCACCTGAATCAAACAATGTAAAAAAGAATGTAATCAACAATAATCAATAATAATCAAGATTGTAATCCACAATAATAAATTCCTCTCATAATCCAAAAAATATTATTTACAAATTCCTTAATTGGTCCACTAAATCAACAGGAATATAGTGCCAACAAAATAATCACATAATCAATCAATTGGTATATTTTCTCAAATTGAAATTGTTTAGTCAAATAGGCAGTACTGATATAAATTTGACTTCAAGAATAAAATATTTGCACATTGGATATGGCTTGAATAAATATTTAAACTAACAGAAAGATAAAATAAAATTTGAATACTCACAGTTACATATTGACAGACAGGTACATGAAACTTTACATAACTCTGACACAAATTAAATTATAACACAAAAATATTTTAAATTGAGCTTTACACAAAATTCAATAATTATTATCAATGACAAAGAAACATCTGGTTGGCTTTATATTATCTCATCAAATAATATTTTACATATTTCTTCAAAGTTAAAAATCGGACAGAGTTAAATTTACTAGTCACATGGTAGCTAAACAAGTTTTAACACAAATTTGAGGGTCAATGTTACAACATGATCTAACACAGTTAAATTCAGACATAAAAGAAAATCTACACAATTTTACCTTTAACCAATCTATGAAATCGAATTAGGATATGATTTTTAAAATATTTTGCAAAGGGAAATTTAATCATACAAACAATAATTATTTTCCATGACAAAATTACTAACTACTATTCATGAATATTCTTAAGCTGTTCTTGACCTTTTGAATAAAATTAATTGAAGGATAAAATTTGTATTTATTCATTTTTGTTAAAAGAGGAAATCATTTTGGAAAAACTAGGTTTACTATTTCAAAAATATAAAATTAACTAATAATCCATCACACAGCTTACCATGCCTCCTAAAATCCGTTGCTTAAA